GGACAGCAAGGAGATCAAACCAGTCAATCCAAAAGGATTTCAACCCTGAATATTCATTGGAAGGACAGATGCTGAAGCTGAAGCTCCAATACTTTGGCCACTTGATGAGAAGAACTGACTCATTGGAAAAGACCCTGATGCTGGGAAAGATTGAAGGAAGGAGGAGAAAGTGACAACAGAGGATGAGATGGTTGGATGGCATCACCAACTCGATGGATGTGAGTTTGAGCAAGGTCTGGGAGTTGGTGATGCACAGGAAAGCCTGGCATGCTACAGTCCATGGGGTTGCAAAGAGTCAGACATGACTGAGCAATTGAAAAACAACAACTAATAACACTGAAGTATTTCTACATATCTACATGTACATATTTACAGAATTTGAAAAGATTGCTTCCCTTCACTCTTTTAAAAAACTGTTTATAGCTTTATTGAGATACGGGCTTCCCTGGTGGCTCAGAGGTTAAAGTGTCTGCCTGCAATGCAGGTGTCCTGGGTTTGACCCCTTGGTCAGGAAGATCCCCTAGAGAAGGAAATGGCAACCCACTCCAGTATTCTTGCCTGGAGAATCCCATGGAGGGCGGAGCCTGGTAGGCCACAGTCCACGGGGTCGCAAAGAATCGGACATGACTGAGCAACTTCACTTCACTTTATTGAGATATAATTCACCTATTTAAAGTTCATCCAATTCAAATGTTTTTACTATATTCACAGATATGTGCAAGTATCGTTAGTCAATTTTAGAACCTTTTCATTACCTCAAAAAGAAATCCAATGCCCTTTAGCTATGATTCTTCGATCCCCTGCTCCCCATTGCTCTCAGTCCTATGCAATGAATCTTTCTGTCCCTATGGATTTGTCTGTTCTAAACATTACAAATGAATGGAATCATGTATGTGAGCTTCTGTGACTGACTTCTTTCACTTAGTACAATGTATCTGTATAGTAGCATGGATAGTATTTCATTTCTTTTTGTTGCCAAATAATATTTCATTGTATTGTTGTTGTTCATACACTAAGTCATGTCTGATTCTTTGTGACCTCATGGACTGCAGCACACCAGGCTTCCCTGTCCTTCACCATATCCATGAGTTTGCTCAAACTCATGTCCATTGAGTTGGTGATGCCATCCAACCATCATATTCTGTTACCCCCTTCTCCTCCTGCCTTCAATCTTTCCCAGCATCAGGGTCTTTTCTAATGAGTCAGCTCTTCGCATCAGGTGGCCATTGTATTGGAGCTTCAGCTTCAGAATCAGTCCTTCCAATGAATATTCAGGGTTGATTTCCTTTAGGATTGACTGATTTGATCTGCTTGCTGTCCAAGGGACTCTCAAGTGTCTTCTCCAATACAACAATTCAAAAGCTCAATTCTTTGGTGCTCAGCCTTCTTTACAGTCCAATTCTCACATCCATACATGACTACTGGAAAAACCATAGCTTTGACTACATGGACATTTGTTGGCAAAGTTATGTCTCTGATTTTAATAGACTGTCTAGGTTGGTCATAACTTTCCTTCCAAGGAACAAGTGTCTTTTAACTTCATGGCTGCAGCCACAGTCTGCAGTGATTTTGGGGCCCAAGAAAATAAAGTCTGTCACTGTTTCCCCTTTTTCCCCATCTATTTGTTATGAAGTGATGGGACCAGATAACATGATCTTAGTTTTTTGAATGTTGAGTTTTAAGCCAACTTTTTCACTCTCTTCCTTCACCCTCATCAAGAGACTTTTAGATCCTCTTCACTTTCTGTCACTGGAGTGCATCTGCATATCTGAGGCTGGTATTTCTTCCAGCAATCTTGATTCCAGCTTGTAATTCATCCAACTCTGCATTTTCATGATGTACTCTGCCTATCAGTTAAATAAGCAGGGTGACAATATACAGCTTTAATGTACTCCTTTTGCAATTTGGAACCAGTCTGTTGTTCCAGGTCCAGTTCTGTTGCTTCTTGTTCTGCATACAGGTTTCTCAGGAGACAAGTAAGCTGGTCTGGTATGCCCATCTTTTGAAGAATTTTCCAGTGTGTTGTGATCCACACAGTCAAAGGCTTTAGAATAGTCAATGCAGCAGAAGTAGATGTTTTTCTGGAATTCCTTTGCTTTTTCTATAATCCAACAGATGTTGGTAATTTGGTCTCTGGTTCCTCTACCTTTTCCAAATCCTGCTTGTACATCTGGAAGTTCTCAGTTCATGTACTGTTGAATCCTCACTTGTACATTTTGAGCAGTACCTTGGTAGGCACGTGAAAAGAGGGCAATTTTCCAGTAGTCTGAACATTCTTTGGCATTGCCCTTCTTTGGGACTGAATGAAAACTGACCTTTTCCAGTTCTGTGGCCACTGCTGTGTTTTCAAAGTTTGCTGACATCTTGAGTGCAGCACTTTAACCGCATTATCTTTTAGGATTTGAAATAGCTCAGCTGGAATTCCATCACCTCCACTAGCATTGTTCATAGTAATGTTCCTAAGGCCCACTTGACTTCACACTCCAGGATGTCTGGCTGTAGGTGAGTGACCACACCATCTCAGTTATCAGGGTCATTAAGACCTTTTTGCATATTTCTTCTGTATTTTTGCCATTTCTTCTTAATCTCTTCTGCTTCTGTTAGGTCCTTGCTGCTTCTGTCCTTTATTGTGCCCACCCTTGTATGAAATTTTCCCTTGGTATCTTCAACTCCATTGTACTGATATACCATATTTTGTTTCTCCAGTCATCTACTGATGCAAATTTGGGTAGTTTCCACCTTTTGCTTCTTATGAAGAGTGCTGCTATGATCATTTGTGCACAAGGTAAACACCTAGAAATAGAATTATAGGGTCATATGCCAACTCCATGTTTAAGTTTTGAGACTGCCAAACTGTCTTCTATAGTGATTGCACCTTTTTACATCCTTCCTACCAATATATGAGACGTCTATTTCTCTGTATCCCCAGTAATGCTTGTTATTTTGTGTGATTTTTTTTTATTATAGCCATCCTAGTGGGATGTGAAGTGGTATCTCATTGTGGCTTTGCCCATCCCTATTACTCTCTCCAATACCAACTTCCTTCTTCAGTAAAGATGTAGAACATTGATTTCCTATTACTTTCCAGCATTGCTTGAAAAATATATCTGTGAAATGGTATGTGTACACTTCACAATACCACTTTAGATCCTACAGGTATCTTTTGAATATTATGGTTATCATTTTAGAAATGGTCACTCAAGTTTCTGGCAATTTCTCATAATTCTCTGACCCACCTAGTTCCTGGACACCCTGCCCCCCAGTTTATGTAATAAGTACATAATAAGATAAATGCTGCAGCACAAACTCTTGTGATGGCCTGCATTTCATCTGTTACTTGACTGTGCTTTCCTAAGTAACCAAAACCAATTTTTGCATGTGGTATTTTTTCCTGTAAAGGTGACAAATGTTGAGGATTTATGGACTGAATAAAAACAGGTGCATTTAAAAGGTGTAGGACTTTATACAGTCAAATGTGGGCAGATAGAATGCAATATGAGGAGGAAAGAACACCATTCCAGAAGTGGAATCTTACTGAAAATCTTTTACCTTCCTTTCCCCAACTTAGGGTGGTAGCTTTCCCTTAGAAACAAAAGAAAATATGTTCCACTAAGTACCGAAACTGTGTTTATGCATTTGCAGCAATAAAACAAGGAGACAGGGTGGAGATGCCTTCTGCAGGTGCCACCAGGTTGAGAGGCATTTCCTGACAAAGGAGTAGTTACAGCTGGGACACCTGGGGTAAAGACATATGCAAATGAATACTGGGAAAGTATTCCTGGGATTCACCTCCATTAAGTATTATACTTTGAGGCATCATTATAGGTTATGAAACTTAGTGTTCTAATCCTTATACTTATGAGAGACCAGTGAAAAGCAGTTCAAGAAACACTGCTGAGTTGAACAGATGAACAGGAGTGGTGGCTGGAGAAAGAAAAGGATATGATGGATTCAGGTTTTGGAAAGTTGAGGTCTTGTGAGCTGCTATACCAGTGGAGTGGGGGAAAATACCCTTTTCCCACTATATAGTTCAAGTAAGCACTAACTCTAATGTCGTAAATAAGTAGCTTCCTTGGATGTAGAAGGAGTCCCGTTAAAATGATTACAATTATAAGAAAGTTGTCTCTCTCTCTGTTTTTGTCACAGTCAAGCCATCTCTAATCAAAGAGTAGAAGACCACTGGATAAGGGTCAGTAGGATCAGACTTCACACAAACTCGGAATTTTACGACCAACATCATCAGCAAAGCAGTTCAGTCCAGGTCTTCAGGAGCCTACTTCATCCACAAGGAATCTGGCTAATTGATACATGTATTCAAAGCTGCAGAGACGTAATGGATGGTGTTTCCCAAGCTTCTTGCTGCAGAGCTGAAGAGACCCTAGGGTTTAGCTAGAACAGAAAATCTTCCTATGACACAGGTCTGTCAGGCGCTCGAAATCACTGCCAAGTTATTTCATTTCAATCACTGCTCCTTTGTTACTAAGCAAACAAGGAGGAAAGACTGTGTATATAAAGTGCCCACAATAAAGAGGTTATTTAGGGAAAACGTACTAATATAGTACTTGTGTTTTCCCAATCCGCCCCACGCCGTCCAGTTAACCAAGCCTCAGCCTGAGTTCTACCTTAGAGGATGCTGGAGCGCATGTTCCTTTTGGAAAGTGAAGGTGGGAAGAAGGGTATCAAAGCTAATCTTTAACTGAGATTTTACTATCTGAAAGACTTGTGCGCTTCTTAGTGGTAACTCATTTAATGGTCAAACAATCCTACGAGACGGGTCCAAATTTACCCCCATTTTACAGATGAAGAAATTGAGCTAGAGATGAATTACTTCCTTAAAGTCACACAGTCACTCAGAGACGGAGACCACCGCGAAAGAAGGCTTTCCGGAGACGAGCACAATGGAGGACACAGGAGGAGGGAGGGAGAGGGGGAGAGGGAGCGGCGGGAGGGGGTCTCTCTCTGTGTGGTCTAGAGACCAGCAACATCTTGCACTGATTGCTATGCATATTTTCATCACTTTAGCTGCTGGCGTCACCACCAGGAACGGAAAGACGCCTCGATCACAGGAAAACCGTCGCAGAGGAGACGCGGGGATGCTCCCTTTCTCACCCGCAGGTTCCCCGGCGCCGCAGGGCCGCCTTCAGCGGCGAACTACAACCCCCACTATGCACCGCGCGGGGCCAGGGGCCCATGCAGGGGCGCACGCGAGGGTGTTTCAAAGGCGCCTTGAGAAAAAGAAAAAAAAAAAAAATCATACATCTTTCGTCGCTTTCCAGCCTTCACACTGCTCTCACTCTCAGAGGGACGCAGGCGTCTTTTTTTATGAACAGGTAGTACGGAAAAGTATGTAAAGTCCCTTCTGTCTTCAGGCGTAGCAGAGGGCAGCTGCGACAACAGCGCCGGGGCGCGAGGTCCTCGGGCCAAGCGCCGGGCAGAGGCAGCGGAGGCGGGGCGGGGACGCGGCCGGAAGTGTGCGCGGGCGAAGAGGGAAGCCTGAGTGGTTGCTGGCGCGCGCTTCCGGCTAGTGCGTTGACGTCGGCCGGCTGTTCAGGGCGCTGCTGAGGGCTCTTAGGCCGCCGCCGCGCGTTACCCGGCTCGCCCCGAGGCGCTTAGTCTCCTCTCTTCTCGCCGTAGGCCGTGACGACATGAGCAGCAAAGAAGGTGGCATCCTCAATAGCTTTGGGCGTGATTTATTTATTTAATCCAGCCTTTTGGTAGCATTTTCCACTTCCCACCCTTGAAAGATGCTTTCTCCCCTCGCAGACTCGGGGGGCGGCTGCCCTGGTGATTTCCCCGGCCACATTGGCCCTATTTACCTCTTTTCCTTAATCCTCGAGCCATTTTTATCTTAGTTCGGTAATTGCCCATTGTTGTTCCAGATCAGGGAACCCATTGTGGGAGGTTTGGAAGAGCTTAACGTTTGGGAGGTGGTCGGGGAAGGTAGGGCTGCATTTCTGTTCGTTTGCTGAGAAAGTCTCTGCGATGACGGCCCAGGGGAGGTCTGGTTTTAAGGAAGAAAGGGGTTTACCTCTATTATGTGTTGTCAAGTCCTGGCGATGGGAGAGCCCTGTCCAACCTTTTTTTCCTTCTCTATGTAAGGATCAGGAGGGTTCAGGAAAAGGAAGCATGACAATTTCCCACATAACCAGAGAAGAGAAGGGAAGGATGTTAATTCATCTTCACCTGTGATGTTGGCCTTCAAATGTAAGTTCTCTGTCATGTAAACTGGTGAAGGGAAGAGAACTAAAGAGGTTGTAAAAAGGATTACTTAGCTATGTTATGCTTCAGTCTCTTGAGACTTTTCCTGGAGGTTTTGCAGTGGTGCTCGGTCTGCTATGAAAATTGAGATTACAGAAGTCTTGACTTTTTTTTCCCTTTTAAGTTTCACAGGTAAACATTAATTAACATCAGACATGCCACATGACTGAAAATTACTGTACGCCTGATACACAAGCATACATGTCAGCAGTATATATACGGATATTTGGTTATTTAATTTTTAACGTGTATTGGTTTTGTTTTTCTCCGCTAGGCTTTTGGAGACTTTTTGTTTTTTTAAAGATTTTTTTGATGTGGAACATTTTTAAAGTTTTTATTGGATTTGTTATAATAACTACTTCTATTTTGTGTTTTGATTTTTTGGCCGTGAGGCATGTGGGATTCCCGACCAGGCATCAACCTCACACCCTCTTCATTGGGTGGTGAAGTCTCAACCACTGAACCAGGAGGGAAATGCTGTATTTTTGTTTTCACTATACCTCTTTGCAGAGAGTGGGCACTCAACTGCATGTAAATTATATGTGTATATTTATTCCCAGATTCTCTTTTCTCAGTATATTAACTTGGGAAAAGTGTTCCTCATTGCAAAACATAAAACAAAATTCATATAACTCTTGTCTTCTGTCCAGCATGCTATTTTTTTTGGACACACTGTGGCAGGCAAGATCTTAGTTCCCCTACCTGGGATTGAATCCATGCTCCTTTGCAGTAAAATTGCAGAGAGCTAACCACTGGACCAGCAGAGAATTCCCCCAGCATCCTTTTCTTTATAGTTTCTGTAGTTCAGGAATCCAAGGGAGGCTGAGTCAGCTGTTGGTTCAGATAACTTGGAGTCATCTGAAGACTTGAATTGAGTTGAAGGATCCACAACTATCAGTCACTTAGGTCTTCTGCTAGCAGTCAGCTCTGTGTTCCTCCATGTGGACCCCTCCATGGTACTACCTGAGTGTCCTTGTGTTACAGCATTTGGCTTCCTCAGACAGAGGAAGGGAGGAGAAGACCACAGTTCTCTTATATTCTAATCTTGGGTATCATACATGTCACTTTTGCTATAGCTTATTAGTTTGAAATGAACTAAAACTCAGCCTCATGTTTGAGAGAAAGGGAATTAGGTGCCACTTTTTGAAAGGAGTATTAAGTAAATTGTGGACATATCTGAAGATTGTCACAGCACATAACAGTGATCTTCAGTGGTGTAAGACACCTACTTGTGATTGAGGAAGGAGCGTATTGATAGAGCTATATACGCAATGGAGAAACTATGCTGGGTCAGGTGTTCCCTATCGTTATGGGCTCACACACTCCATTGCTTGTTTCCAAGCATATTTTGCTGTCTTTTGTTTCTGCCTGCCTTTGTCTTCATAGTTCTTTAGGCTTGGAATAGCTTCTACCTTGGTGCCCCCATTGCCCAGCTGATGTACTGTAGTTTTTTTTAAGACCCATTCCAAGTAGCTTCTTCCTACTTCTCTGATTTTTTTCTGATTTTCCTCCCAAGCAAATTTGGTGACAGACATTGCATTCATTGAACATCCACCCATTTAGTCAAGACGTATTTATTGAACATCTGTGTTCTAGCAAGGTCTTCCCAGGTGGTGCTAGTGGTAAAGAATCTGCCAGCCTATGCAGGAGATGCAAGAGACATAGGTTTGATCCCTGGGTCGGGAAGAGTCTCTGGAGTAAGAAATGCAACCCTCTCAGGAGTTCTTTCCTGTAAAATCCCATGGACAGAAGATCCTGTGGGGCTGCAGTCCATGGGGTCTCAAAGAGTCAGGACTGAGTGACTGACCATTACTAATACTGTGTTTCAGCGTCTGTTGATAGTGAACAGGAAAAACATAATTCCTGCTTTACTGAACCTTTTCTGTGTATTTATTATAGCATGATCACATTCAATTCTTTGTTTCCATCTCTGTCTCATACAGGACTGAGCTTGAGGATAGAAACTGCCTTATTTAACTTTATTCATAGTATCTAATTCACAGTGGTCATTAATATAGTCAAAATGTGAATGTATTTGTTTGTCTTCAAATATTAGGCAAAATCCTAGCCTAATTATTATCTCAGTAATAAAAGACGGGATGTATTTAGGCCTTTATCAGCTGCTAATTTGGTTAATAGTTTATTCGAGTTCTGAATAAACTTTTGTATTCCCGTTCAAAGCATGTCTGTGGAGTGCCAGGCAACTTGTTAGTTCTTTGGAATGATAATTTTTCTAAAATAAAGTGGTTATTAAGTAAGTGCTTTATAGGTATTTCAACAGCTAGGGCTTGAGAATTCAGAAAGTTGATGTTATTAAGGTTTATAAGCATAATTTGAAAATCCTGGTTTATTTTTTCTGGATATTTATATTGTACATGGTAAGGTAATTAAAAATAACTTTACATAATTTAGTGAAGTAGTTGAAAGTAGTTTTTGTAAGTAGTTATACGTGATAATTTTGTGATAACAATCTCTTTATTAGAACAGATAATTTGTTACAATATATACATCTCATTATGAGGCTCTGAGTGGTAAAATCCAGTTAAGGCATACCTGTATTTAAAGAAAGAATATCTTGGTTAGCAGCAGAGTTTTTGTTTTCCAGGTACTTTTAAAAGTAAATAAGTTGATTTCTCCTATATGCTGACAGTATTGTTTCATTATACTTTCAAATGTAGAACAAGCATGCTTATGGTCATAATAATGTGTTTTTAGCATTTCAACAGGAACTTGATGCAAGACATGACAAATATGAGAGACTTGTCAAACTTAGTCGAGATATAACTGTTGAAAGCAAAAGGACCATTTTTCTCCTCCATAGAATTACAAGGTAAGTAAATATCTTTAAATTTGTTACAGTTGGATACAGGCTGATATGTATTTTGTATTTATCAGTAAGTCAGTGGACAGTAACTAGCTGACTTTTTGAACACCAGGATCAAGAGGATGTTAGTAGCAGGTAGATTTTAAGAATAAACATTTTTTAAAAAATAGGAAATTTTTCTTATTTTCAGGGTAGCTAAGGATTTGTGTCTTGTTAAGATCATTCACAGAGATAAACTGTTGTTTGTGAACATATTTAAACTTTAATGGTTTATTAGAGCCTGTTAACATTAAAGCTTTTCTTGGATATGTGCAAAAATGTTAATATTAGGTAAATGTTGCATTCTGCTTATCTTCCCATTCATTTTTCAGTTCATTGGACATTGGGCTTTCTGCTTCACTGAATTGAAATTGCCTTTATTCACTCATATTGATAAATCTAGTATATACTCTTCTACTGTTTTCTTATTTTTCTTATTTACATTTTTGCACGTGTGATAGTGTTGACTGTTGAATTCTTTGGGGTTTAATTCTTCCACCTTCAGCTCTGTGACATTCTTTCTGTAAGACTTTACTGTTTTTCTAGGGAGTTCTGTATATTTGATAGATTTCTTTGTTGCAAATAAAAGAAGCAAACTTAAACTAGCCTAGATTAAGAGGAGGGAAGTGGAATATTTTATGAATGCAGCTGGGTATCTCCAGTTTCTCATCTTTGTTTCGTATTTCATTTGACTAGCTTTCTTTGCTTTTCTATTCTTCATTGAGGTAGAAATCATCCACCCTGTAGCTCACAGAGATTCTTGTTACATTGCCAATTCCAAATGTCTCCAGAAGGCTAGCGAGGGTTGGCTCCCCACTGTGTGTCTAACAAAGTATTTAAGCAAGTCCAAGTGTAATTTATGAGCTTTTTATTATTAAAGTAGTATTGAAGTATTCTATTCACGTACAACTTTTAAGGTAACTCTGAAATACTTTAATTTTCATTCCATTAAGTGGAAACAAATTTGCCATATGTAGATTAGTGGAATGTGGCACTATTAACCTTTTCTTCTTTATACTTGATTCTAAAATTAGTTTTTTGCTTGTTTTTTGAGCCAGTTTTCAGGTAGCTTATACACATTTGAGCTTGTATTATGAAAAAAAGCAACACTGATCTGGTGAATTATGAACACTTTTTTCAATAGAAATTTCAGTTCTAAAACAATTGTCAACGCATATATATGGAATTTAGAAAGATGGTAACGATAACCCTATATGCAAAACAGAAAAAGAGACACAGATGTACAGAACAGACTTTTAGACTCTGTGGGAGAAGGCGAGGGTGGGATGTTTCGAGAGAACAGCATCGAAACATGTATATTATCAAGGGTGAAACAGATCACCAGCCCAGGTTGGGTGCATGAGACAAGTGCTCGGGCCTGGTGCACTGGGAAGACCCAGAGGGATCGGGTGGAGAGGGAGGTGGTGGGGGGATCGGGATAGGGAATACATGTAAATCCATGGCTGATTCATGTCACTGTATGGCAAAAACCACTACAATATTGTAAAGTAATTAGCCTCCAACTGATAAAAATAAATGGAAAAAAAAATAAAGTAAAACAATTGTCAGTATTCAGCAGTTTAAAGAAATAGTAGAACTATAACAGGAGAATTTAATATTTTGGAGAAAACCATGTTGTGTAATGTCATCTTGTGGTTGTCTACCAAAAAATAATAAATATTCATTATAATAAACTTAGAAAATAATAATCATTAGAAATAATAAAATGACAGAGAAGTTAAGGTACTGAGTGAAAGAACTCAGTGAATGAAATAAACTGACATTTTATGAAAATGAAACAGAATGAAATAAACAGCCATTATCAGTAAGCAGATTTCATGTTATATTTTTTTATCCTAATTGTTTCCATATTGTTTATAACATTTTTTGATTAGTAAACTAGTAGTAAACTTTAGAAAAATTATAAACTAGAGAAAGTAAAAACCCTTCATGAAGGAAATCAGAGTACATAAAGATAACTACTCTTAGTGAGCACTTTTCATATTTTAACTATGCTTTCATTTTCTTTAATAGATAAAGGTTAAACTAAATAGATAAAGGTAGATATCTCTTTACCAGTGAGCTTTGGTAGTTTGATCTTTCAAGGAATTTTTCTGTTTTGTTTCATAATGTTCTTTTATTTCTGTAGAACCTGTTGTAATATTCTCTCTCTCATTCCTGAAGTTGGTAATTTGTATCCTCTCTTTTTCCTGATCTGTCTGGCTAGAGGTTTATCAATTTTATTGATCTTAAAGGGCTACTGTTGATTTCATTGATATTCTGTATGGTTTTCTGACATATTGATTTCTGCTATTTCCTTCTTTCTGCTTACTTTGGATGCATTTGTTCCTTTTCTGAAGAATTTCTTAAGGTGGAAGCTGGGATCAAAGAAGAAACTGAGATCATTTCTTCTTTTCTAATACAGTGCTATCCGTTTCCCTTTTACATCTCTAAGTACACTTTAGCCACATTCCACAAATTTTGATACATTGTTTTTCATTTTCTCTCAGTTCAAAATACTTTCTAATTTTCATTTTCATCTTTGATTTCATCTTGGGTTGTTTAGATGTTATTTTGTTTCCAAATACTTGGGAATTTTCCAAGCATGTTTTTTATTTTTTGAATTCTTTTAAATTTACTGAAACTTAGTTTTGACCTAGAATATGGTCTCTCTGTACCTTGTACACTTGAAAAGTATATGTATTCTGCTGCCATTGGGGGTAGTGTCCTATCGTGTCAGCTGAGTCAAGTTGGTTGATGATATTGTTCAATCATCTATGTCATTTCTTATTTTTATTAACATATACTTGTTCCATCAATTATTGAGAGATGTTGAAATCTCTTGACTATAATTGTGAATTTGTCTATTTCTTTTTGCAGTTCTATCAGTTTTTGCTTGATGTATTTAAGTTCTTTCATTTGATGTATTAACATTTAGGATTGTTCTGTTCACTTGATGAATTGACCCATTATTATTATTGACTGTATCCCTGGAAATATTCTTTGTTTTGAAATCTGCTTTGTTATTATGTTAATAAATATGCTTATTTTATTTTGATTAGTGTTAACAGGGTATATCTTTATTTATCCTTTTATTTTAAATCTATTCATGTCTGGACTTCCCTGGTGACATAGACAGTAAAGAATCTGCCTGCAATGCTGGAGACTGGGTTCAATCCCAAGGTCAGGAAGATCCCTTGGAGAAGGGAATGGCTACCCACTCCAGTATTCTTGCCTGGAGAATTCCATGGACAGAAGAGCCTTGTGACTACAGTCCATGGGGTCACAGAGTTAGGCATGACTGAGTGGCTAACACTTTAACACTGTATATATTTTAAAAGGCTTTCTTGTCTTTCTTGCTTTTTAATACATTTATCAATTTTATCTAATCTCTGCCTTTCACAGAGGTGTTTAGAGCATTTACATTTAATGTGATTATTGATATGGTTGGAGTTCAATCTGTGATCCATTTTCCTTTTTTTTTTTGCCTTATTTTGGATTGAGTATTTTTTATAATTCCATTTTTTATCTTATTTGTTGATTTATTAACTGTACTTGTTTTTTGTTTTTGTAGTGGTTGTTTTATGGTTTGTAATATATGACTTGTCACAGCCTGCTGTCCTTACTTTGTACAGTACCATGTTAACTGAAACATGTACATTTCAGAATCATGTCTTTCCTTTGCAAGGTTCTGTGGTAATAGTTACTTTGTAAATTGAGGTCACAGTGTTGATATGCACAGATATCAGTTAACATGATACTGTGCAGAGTAAGGACAGCTTGCATATCACTTTGCCTATAATATATGAACCCTATAATTCTTTCTTTTCCATTTCACTTTTACAAGCTTGGCCTTTGTACTACTTCTGAAATACATGCTACTTCTATCTTATTTATAGCCCCTATGGGTGTATACTCAGTCATGTCTGACTCTTTGTGGCCCCATGGACTGTAGCCCTCCAGACTCCTCTATGCATGGAATTTTCCAGGCAAGAATACTGGAGCGGGTTGCCATTTCCCACTCAAGGGGATTTTCCCAACCCAGGGATGGAACCTGCACTCCTGCATTGGCAGGCAGATTCATATTACAGTGCTACCTGCTTTAGCCCATAATCCCCATAATATACCAGAAGTGGTAAGTATATGGAAGAAGATAACTTTTTAAATAGAAAACTGTATTGTTTAAGTAAAAATAATAATTATTTTGGGGATTATTGTTTTTACTTAAAAATTTAAAAATAATATTGTTTAAATAAAAGTAATACTCCCCATAATACATTATTATTTTTAAGCAGTATGATTTTTTAAATTAAAAAGTTACATTTTTCCATATATTTACCATTTCTGGTGTCCCTTATTCCTTTATTCATAGAACCATGTCTTCATCTGGCATCATTGTTCTTTTGCCTAAAGAACTTCCTTTAATACATTTTGTACTGTCAGTGTGCCAGGGATGAATCAACTATTTCTGGTCTTGTATGGGCCGTTGAGATTATTTTGTGTGTTCACTTAGAGTGGGCCTTTTTTCAGCCTCACAAGTTCACACTAATCAAAATTCAAGTGAAGACATGAGTAGTCCCCTTCTGTAGATCTCTGAAACTCCCTGCGTGTAGTTTTCTCCTTTGTTTTTTTGCCTTGCAAGTTTTCGCCATCTTGACCACTGTGAACGCCCATCTTCCCCGCCTCTACTGCGGGAGACTCCCAGGTCCACCTAAGTTTCTCATGCCTGCACTGTCCCTTGGAAACTCCGCAGGCAGTCAGATGGGACAGTCATAGGGCACATGTCCTTTTTTTCACTCATCTCATGCTGTCCTGTGCTGCCCATTTCACAGTGTCTGAAAACCTTTTTATTTATCTGTTGTTTATGTGTTTCTCTTCAGTTGTTTACGGTGGGGTGACAAAGCCATGTTGTTCCATCTGATGGAAAGTAGACCTCTCTAGATGTCTTGTTGAGGATAACTGCTTTCCAATGTTGGTTAGTTTGTGCTGTGCGAGAGCGTGTGTCAGCTGTCGGTTCACATGTGTCCCCTCGCTCTGGAGCCTCACCCCCACCCAGCCCACCGTACCCGTCTGGTCATCACGGAGCACGAGCTGAGCTCCGGTGCTGCGCAGCAGCTTGCCATTAGCTGTCTCTCACACACGGAAGGAAATCAGTCCTGAGTGTTCACTGGGAGGACTGGTGCTGAAGCTGCGATACTTTGGCCACTTGATGCCAAGAACTGACTCATGAGAAGAGACCCTGATGCTGGGAATGATTGAAGGCAGGAGGAGAATGGGACGACAGGGGATAAGATGGTTAGCATCACCAGCTCAATAGGCATGAGTTTCAGCAAGCTCTGGGAGTTGGTGATGGACAGGAAAGCCTGGCATGCTGTATTCTGTGTGGGCCCAAAGAGTTGGACATGACTGAGCAACTGAACTGAACTGAGTGTATATATGCTAATGCTACTCTCAATTTGTCCCACCCTCTCCTTCCCCTGCAGTGTCCACAGTCTGTTCTCTGCATTTCTGTTCCTGCCCCTCAGGTTCATCAGTACAACTTTTCTAAACTCCATATATATGCATTAATGTACAATATTTATTTTTCTCTTTCTAACTTACTTCACTTTGTGTGACAGACTCTAGGTCCATCCACATCACTGTAAACAACCTAATTTCATTCCTTCTTATGGCTAAGTAATAGTCCACTGTAAATATGTACCACAACTTCTTTATCCATTCATCCAGATGCCATGTTTTTATGAACATAATTTCTCTTGCAGCTATGGTTATGTTATAAATACAGCTTCTTATACTTCTTTACACTGAATATTATGTTAAAGCATTTTCCATGTTTTTCACCTATTTTTAATAAATTATAGTTGTACTTTTGAGTTAGAAGTTTCAAGATACATAGCATATTTATTTAGCTGTACATTAGTTGGTATTTTATTTCAGTTTTTCACTATCAAAACATCTGGCTGATATTTTAAAAGTTCCCAATGTCTTGATTGTAGTGCACCTGATATGGAAGAAATATTGACTGAATCAGAAGTTAAATTGGATGGTGTCAGACAAAAGATTTTGCAGGTAGCCCAAGAGCTCTCAGTAGAAGACATGCATCAATTCCACAGAGCCATTACTACAGGTGAGTCTAGGTTTACTTTAGTGGTAATGTTTAAAAGACAATAGTATGTTAAATGACTTATGTGTGCATTGCATGAATTATAATGAACAGTAAATATTATTGGCTTTAAAAATTGGGACTTCTGAGTAGTAATATAAAGATAATTTTAAAATGCTTACTTGGCTTTATTTTCCTGTGTAGTGATAGTCATTGATAGATTTTGATAAAATAATTGAGGAGACACCCTTAATAGAGAAACTTTATTCTTGAGTGAGTAGAGTATATTCAGACAGGGTGTATCTCATTTCCCACCATGAGTATATTTCACTTGTGGCTCTAAGTTTCAGTCATTGTAGGTTCATAAAAAGAGGATGTATCACCTATCCAGATGGACCAAAACATCTCATAGTGCAACTCCATACTGGGAATTCTAGAATAATACTGGGTTTTATATATTCATTTAAAAAGTTTCATGGAATATTGGATCTTGGTGATTATCACCATTTATAAATCAGTTGCACAAACCTTTAAAGTACTTGGTCTGATCCTCTTCATCCTTTTCTTGTTGTGAGTTCACTAATAGGAGAGAGAAATGTATAACTCAGGCATCCCCTAAAATTTGTAGAAAGACAAAGTTTAATTCATATTTATAGAAGTAAATGGAAGTTTCTATCAAAGAGCTGATTCCACTGAGCTGAGGTCAGTTCAGTAGTAAGAAATGAGTTCATTTGGTATCTGTTCAATATATGTTCAGTTTTAGTCTCAATATTTATCATTTCAGGACTTGTTTTTCAGAAATGTCAACCTGTGGTTGTTGAACTGTCTTAATATTAGTAAGAGAAAGTGCCTGCATATATCAGTTAAAGTTGAAGTTACGTTATTATAAGCTAAAGTGATATGAAGAGTCATGTTGTCTTCTGAAAGGAGATACATTTCCTTCCTCATAGTTATTATTTACTATCAGGGATTTATTTGATTTTTAAATTAATAGCACACATAATTAAAAAAGCTTTATGAATTCAGTTTATGTTGTCAGGCGGCACAACCTTGCATATGACAAATTTGGGAGGATTGGGAAGGGAGATCAGAGGTAATGGTAGGAAGAAGGGTGAAGTGAAATTTAAACAAGCCTCTAGAAGAGAACATATGAGAATGTATTTATGACCTTGTAGTAGGAAAGATTTTTTAAATGACAGGAGAAAGTATTAACTACTAAAGGAAAATTGGATTGATTTAATTTTGTTAAAATTAAGAATTTCTCTTTATCAAAAGACATCATTAAGGAAGCAAAAAGGCAAATTGAAGTCTGAGAGATGACGTTTAAGTACATACTTTGGATAGAGAACTCATATAGAATATGTGGAGAGTTCCTACAAATCAATAGGAAGTCAATTTTAAAAATGAACAAAAATAGTTGAATAGGGGCCCCAGAATGTGACTATTCAGATGACTATGAATATTCACAAAAAAGTGCTCAGCATCATTATTCACTAGAGTAGTGTAAAGTGAAACCAAGTGAGGTACCATTCATTCACCAGCATAACTAAATTGTAAATTCTGACCATACCATTTAAAAAAAACTTTGGTGGCATCTAGCAAAAAACCTGTGTCTACCATATGATTACTTCTGGATATGTACCTGAGAGAAGTGAGGATTATATCACCAAAAAACATGTGCAGGAGATCTCAGAACAGCTATAATAATAATATCCTAAAAGTCAAAGATGACCCTGATCAACAGGTCAATGGGTACCTTGTGATGTAGTTGTCCAATGTAGTACTCTATAGCATTAGAAAAGGATAAAGGTGTGCAGCATCAAATAGGAATTTCTCATTCTGTTGGACAAAATAAGCAGACACAAAAGAGTATCTAACTGTATAATTCCATTTATGTGAAATTCAAAAAGAGGCATAATTAATCTAGAGATGTTGATTTGCTTCATTTGGTCCAGTAGGTTATGTTGTAGGCCCTTCATTGATCAGTGAGTAAAGTATAAGGAATGGCTTTAAATAAGAGCAGGGACCATATGGATAGTGACACACAGAATGTTACTTAAGAAGTCATGCTTGGCTTTTAGAACAAAACAGGAATGGGGAAAAAAGGCAAAGGGGACATTTCATTGAATCAGTAGAGTGTTTCTTAAATCAGAAAAGAAGCACTAACCCTGGGAAAAAGTTTAGTTAGGGCATTAGTAAGATGGGAGGAATCTTTTTTCGGTTATTCCCACTTCAGTATCACTGAGGATTATGAATTATTAAGTCATAATCATAGGATTATGAATTTTATGGGGATTAGTGCTTATAAGCACTGTATTTCATTTAGGGCTTCCTTAGTGGCTCAGATGGTAAAGCATCCATCTGCCCACAATGTGGAAGACCTGCGTTCAGTCCCTGGGTTGAGAAGATCCCCTGGAGGAGGGCATGGCAACTTACTCCAGTATTCTTTCCTGGAGAATCCCGTGGATAGAGGAGCCTGGTGGGCTACAGTCCATGGGGTTGCAAAGAGTCGGACACGAATGAGCGACTAAGTACATTTTCCATTTAAGACTTTTGCTTATGATTTGTACATTTTGAGATTACCTACTCATGAATTAAATATTTAAGGATTCTCTGTATCTCACTTTTCTATAGGAAGTCTTTAAAAAAAATGAGGTTCTTTAAATTAATGCAATAAAGATTTGTTTCCTTAAAGTTAAGGAATAAAACAGTCAAGAGAAGTGTCTGGGACTTAAAAATTTGCTCATAGATATTTTACTTGATAAAATAAGTTTATTTATAATTAGAGTAGCAGTAACAATGTGATGCTTATGAATAGCTTGCTGCTTGTAATTGTTAAATGCTTGTTTTGGTGTTACTCCAAATAGTTGTTCTTTTGACTTGAAGATAAAACAATTCTGGCATTGAACTAAAGGAGTTCCGTGCTTTTCCTCATTAAGAATAGTGCTAATGGCATGCAGAGCATTTCCCTAAGGGATACTTGTGTTAGCTCAAACATTGAGTATCCTACTAATAATTGAACAACAACAAAAAGTTAGGTCTGTTTTCTACACATTTCTTATCAGAGTACATTACAGATTGTCCCAAGGGATTGTTAAACAAATGACAAATAATTAGTTACTTGAAATAAATCACTTAAAACTTTTTGGTGCCCTACCATATTTTTTGTTTTTTTTTTTTCCTCTTGTTGAAAAATTAACAGTTCGGGAAAATTCCCTCCATCTCAAAGAAAAAAAGAACTTTTTTGGGTTTAATTTATATCATTGTGATAATATTAAAAATTGTCATTTAATTTTGAGACATCCTAGTGCAGAAAACTTAAGTTCAGACACTAACTAATATTTTAATTCTCTTATCCGAAAATGTGAATGATGGATTGAGTGAGAGTTTTGGGCCAGCTACAGATATTTTTTAAAACTGTTGCTCTTTATATATTAAATATTTATATTTATGTGACCTTTGCAGTATCCCTGAGTCATAAATATTTTTACCACTTCTTAAGTGGGGAAATTGAGACTTACAGGAGTTAAGCAACTTGTTCAAGGTCATAAGCTAGTAAGTGGTACCATTGCTTGCTTATTGTGTGGATTTAATTTACCTGTTGAACTTTAGAACCTTACCCCAATTAAAGGCTTTATATTGCTTAAATTTCTCTTTGTCCAAATATGAAGGTTTTTCTTAAATAATCCAGAACACATTATAACTTTCGTGTTGCTCTTCCCCCCCCCCCCCCCCAGCACTTAACAACTTTGACATACTCTCTAATCTCCTTATTTATTATGTTTCTTTATTGTTTCTCTTCCTCTACTAGAATGTGGACTCTGTAAGTCTCTACAGAAGTTTTTTGTTATTGTTAACTGGGGTATCCCAGACACTTAATAGCTGTTTGATAAATGTTGACAGAATGAAGAGCAAAAGTATTTTAAAAGGGCTTTTTTGTTCTTGTTGTTCAGCCAAATCTTTTATCTAATAATTTGCTTTTGCAGATTTTTGTTTAACTGTTTTTTGTTGCTTCCAAAAGGAAACATGTTTCCAGGGGCTGTTGCTTACATATAATACAAAAATAGGATCAATATTAATCTTTAGAGACATTCTAAAGCTCACATCAGTACAGAAAAATTTGATATCATTTCAGTATATTAGCATAATTGAGACGGCTTAGTGAAAAGTGAACATGAAGATCTGCAAACCTTTGGAATAAATAATGGAAGAATTTAGTGAAGGGGAAAAGATATAGCTAAAGATTGAATTTTTCTTTTTGTGAGATTTTGTGTGCAGAGATGTTAAGTCAGGTGGTTTACCTGAACTAATGGGAATGAAGCTTCCCATTCATTCACAGGAAACAAATGATTAAACTTAGGATATTTTAGTGGCATAACAAAATAGGAACCATTTCTTTCTCATTTGAAGCCCAGGCTTGGCGCTGGTGGTTTGAGTGTGCTCTGCCTGCTTAGTCATTCACAGACCAGGCCCTTGGGGCTCTGATGTTGCCAGTGTGTGGTTCCAAGGCGAGCCAGGACGGCAGCACACAGCTGGCAGGCTGTGGACGGGATGAGCACAGAGTCACGCCTGAGGGTTTTATGGGGCTCTTGAGATGGCAGCCATCACTCCTGCCCACATTTTATTGGCCAGTTACATGTCCACACCTAACCTCAAGGAAGAATAGGAAATACGCTCTCTGTGCCAAAGACAATGAAATATATTTGATGGATAGTTAATTTTTCTCTGCCCAGTTCAATAATCTGATGTCCATTTGACTTACTGGGAAATCCAGGCATATGCCTGCTGATAGATTTATGTTTTTTTTCTGCATGTACTTTAATTTTGTTTGGAAGCATTCATTTGCCTAATGCAAAAATAATTTTGAAACTGAAAGAGACGTTGGAGGACATCCTGTGCCACCACCTTAATTTGTAAATGAGCTTAGAGATGGCGTTGGAATTGGAATCTGACTTGTTTATCTACCCTGATAAACTTGTTATACCAATTCATTTTGCTAATTAGTAGTTGGTACTTTACACTGT